CCCCCCCCCCCCCCCCAGCCCAATTAACAATACAGTAAACCATGAGCCTGTAGCTTTGGATTAATATCACGCATAGTTTGTGTTGTATACAAGTAGGTGCCAAAGTGCTGCTCAAAAGTGTGTTTATGGAGTGCCTGTGCTAAAATTTACAACAGTTTCAAAAAGAAAAAAGTATCCATTTTCGATTAAGTGTATATTCAGATTGCTACAGCCATGTTTAACTTCAAGGTTATTGTTTCCAAATTTGCTCCTCACTTCCATGTGCTCAGGAAAAGCAGGATCTGACGCTAAGGAGAAAGAGGGGGGAAAAGTTTGGGGGAAGCAGAAAGCAAAGGGGCTACCTGACCTCTTCCCCATCCCCCCCCCCGCCTCTGCTGATTTTATTCCTGCTGTAGCAGTGGGAGGGGGGACAAGTTCTTTAATTAGACTCGATACCTAGAAAATTTATAACAAATTTATACATTTCTTCCATATATAGAATCTAATTATTGGAAGGTCATCCTATAATCAGGGTTGTCTTCTATTTGAGTAAATACAATAGTTACATGTCACATTTTCTGATATTGGGGCTTATTAGTTAAGTTTAACTTGTGATCTGTGTTAAGGTGTATTTGGATGAAACTGGAATTCAATTCAAGTGCACAAAAATACCACTTTAGATTTTTTTTAGTTATCTTTTAATTGGCTTTAACTCTAAAACAAAGGAAGGATTATTAATACCGTTTGAATTAACTGATTTTTTTTGTTTGTTTGTTTGTTTGTTTTTTCCCCCCTGGTTACCCCATTCTTCTGGATAGACCTCGCCTTTTTTATTTATCAAATACAAGTGGGGAAAACAAATGCTTCTGCTTCTCTAACTCCTAATCAGTTTTTCAGCTTTCAGTAACTAAATCATTGAAGTGAAGAAGCAGAATAAACTGAGGTTCTCACTGTACCTGTAGAGGAGACTACTGCTGTCAAGTTGGTTTAACATGTCTAACCAGCTCCGATTCCAGGGGTTTAACCAGTGATTTCCACCAGCGGAGAGTTCCTTTAAGACTTTTTGGAAATGGACGTGTACTGCTTGAATATTTATTAATCTTAAATCATTTTAATAATTAGGCCTGAATTAAGAATTTTTCTTAAATATATTAATCTTACTTAACATACTTAACCTACTGTGATAACAGACCTGGGAACAGAACCTAGGTCTTTACTTGGTCAGAGAGACAGTCTGTCTACATTATTCCTCCTCAGGGCAGTGGTGTAAAGATGTGCAGACTAGTCTGTGCTTACTCCCCATTGCTCTCAAAGGCAGTGAGAACTGCTGAAAACTGTCTTACGTACCTACAGGCTCCCAATGCAGAAATATAGCAGGGAGGATGTTCTGGGGATATGTTCCCTTCCTCCCTCCCATTGCTACTTTTCATCTCTTTCTGACTCTCTTTCTTGAGAGAAGCAGCTTAGCTGCATTCCTGGAGCATCTTCATCACCTTGTTTCCAGTTTGGAACCTGCAGAGTGGGAGCGATGGGCCAGGCTGAATTTTCAACAGCAGCCTTGAGGCAGTATAGACACATCCTTGTTGGAAAGCATTTCCTTTCCAAAGCCACGAACAAAGTGCAAGAATTTGGCTTCTCTCTTTTTTTCTAGCAAATAGTGGTTTATGTCACGTCCATGTCACAAGTCTATGGAAACCACTCACTTCCCATAAGTGACTCCAATGTGAGCATGACTACTTCTGTGCATCTAAAGGTCTAGGGTTCAAATGCTACAAATGAACAACAATTCTTCCTCAAAATTGGAAAAAAATCATGTAAAATTCAACTTTTAGGATCAATAAGCCTAGTGAGAGACTGTCAGAAGGATGTTTCTGTTTGTATAACCTGTGAAATTCTCAATTGTCTGCAAAATCAACTTAAAAAAAAAAGTTAGTAAAATACTGACTCCCGTGGTCCTTGCTGCCTCACAGCCTGCCTGGGATTGGAAGGTGCGGTTGATGTGGTGGCAGGAAGGGCCACCAGGGCCTCTCCACTAACCAGTGGCAAGAAGCGGGATTGCTGGGAAATGCCCATGAAATCAGCTCTTTGTGCTGTGACAATTCCTTTGTCTGGTTTTGTGAATTAAGTAGGTTCCTGGTTATATACAAAAGTGTTGATCCTGCCGCCTCTGGCATACGCACTCTGCTGTGGTCTTTAATGGCATGCCCGAAGGCTGCTTCCCCTACAGGATCTCCTGCAAACATCCTCGTGCCTTCTGAATGACACTTGATCATGCAGTCTTGAGTCTCTTAACTTTTTTGTTTTGCTTTGTTTCAGTGTATTTCTGAGTCTGTGTTTCTGAGAATGTTGAAACATGTCTTTTATTTTAGATTTAGCTGTGGGAAAGGGTGGTTTGAACCAAAAATGACGGGTAGTTTGAGGTGGTCGGAAGGTTAAAAATATAAGTTCCTTAAACTTCTTTTGATCTTTGCAGATACCGGTTACTGACCATGTCTGTGGAACTGCAGGATGCGGACCTTGCAGAGGTAAAGCCTCTGGTAAAGAAAGAGGAGGTAATTGTAACATTCGGTTTCATAATCTAGGACTGGAGTTGGAACTATTTTTATTCATATTTTAAGAATTGTTAAAATTCTCTCGAGGCTTTCAAGAAGAAAAGACATGAAGTCCCATGATAACTTTCTTGATGTGTCATGTTCTGTTTTCCTTAAGAATTGCCTGTGCAGCCTCGTATCTCTGTAACTGTTTAGAAATTACTACAGCTATGCTGGTACAGTTCAGTACTGTGGACATGGTTACACAAGGCTATTTACATGCACTTCAAAAATAAGCAATGTGGATGAAAGTGCCTTTAAAAGCAGTGCATAAATGGTGTTCAAAAAGGTTCTTAATTCTTACCTTTTGAGCCATATCTATAGTTTCCTCCAAAGATGTCATAAGAGTTTTTGCAGAGAAACCTAACTAGCTTTCTAACTTGTTAGCTTGAGTAGCACAGGAGGGTCGTTATTCTAGCCTGGCTTCAACCGGAACTCCAACACGCGCCAGGGATCCTAGGTAGTTTAGTGGGCAGCAAGCCCATGCTCAGATGTATGCTGCTGGGACAGAATGAACTGGCATTCAAATTGCAGCTCACCTAAATGATCCATGAAGCAGCAGCACTCTGATTGAGCAAAAAGGCTTATTAATCGTGGCCCCCTATGCATCTGCAACTGTCTGACTCGAAATAGACTGCATCACAGGAAATAGCCAAATCCTTCATGGACTGGCCAAATTTGCCCTGATATCAAAATCTGGTGTTATTTCTGTTGATCTTTTTCATGTATGACCATTGTTACTGACAACAGTAAATCTAAGCTGGAACTGTTAATTCTTGTATTTGTAATCTTCTCTCCATTTCCCACCCCTGTTGAATTAAGTTACTTGCATCAAAAATTTGGAAAAGCCTTTAATGTGCAAACAATTTCATTTCAGTTGTGTTAAATTATTTCTGTAATGCCCTTTACTCAGTATTAGCATGAAAACACTGTTTGAAAACTAGCAGGAACACTGTGTAAAGTTCCAGAAACAAAGATCCCGTTCTCATGCAAGTATCACTTGCTATTGCTGTTCCTCTGCTCTAACTAAGAAGCCTTTCAGTTATGTTTTATTGCAAAATGTTGGCATTTTAATGAGACACTGAAGAAATTGTGTGGGGTGTCTTATCATATGCAGAAGACAAATCAGTTGCATTGAGCAGCAAAAGATGTCTGCTCTTACTCGAGATGCCCAATAAGTAGGGGGCTATCTAACTCAAGGAGGCGGCTGGCTGATTTTTGCAGGCACCACCACCTTTTTACAGGCTGAGCGCAGCAGATCCCCCGTGCCTCTGAACAAGGGACTGCAGCATCATGAAGGCTGCTGGATCCCTCTGGGGAGCCAGCATTTTATTTTTAGTAAGTTTTGTCTTTTTTTTGTTTTTGCAGTGAGCCTGCTGTGTTTCATGGAGCCAACTCAAATGTTGCGGTCTCCATGAAAACCGCGCAGTCTAGAACTTGGTAGGCCCGTACCAATAAGCTTGTCTGTAAATTTTACACTAACCTGGTGACTAGCCACTCTTGCTGCACCTTAACTGCATAGTAGTTGACTTCACCATCAGGGGTCAGCACTGTAAAAAATAAATAAAAGTTCTATCTTGGGTGGTAACAGTGTAAACTTTAACTCCCAAACACTTCAATCTGATATCTGGATCAGCTGGTTGTGTATACCAGACACTTTCCAGATCCTAATAAATGTCATGGCTCTTAACATCTTGACTCAGACCTCAAGTCATTACGTCCTCATTTTTTTATGTCAGTTGATGGACCCATGACAGTTATTAGTTAAACATAGTGTTAGTCATACCCCTCTAATAATGTAACTTTCTTACCAGGGTGTCCCTTGTCCTGTTTTATCCTTCCCCTGGTATATGTTGCAGCCAATGAAATCTTGTTGCTTTTGCCTGTCTTATGTTAAGTTACCCTACTGAAACTTCTACCACCTGCTCAAGTTTTCCCACACATGGGGTCAATGTATGTAACTAGTCTTGATTTTAATTGATATTGATATTTCTAGCAATATTTTAAGTTGCAGCCAAATGTATGCTGAGGTTTTAAAGCCACTTGGGTTGGGAACCTGTGTTATATGCTTGCTTCTGCTGCATGTGCCGGACTGGCTAGCAGCTTGTCTGCAATGGTGAAAGGAGAACATGAGCTGAACAACACAGAATGAAGTCAAGTCCATTTCTGAGCTGAAGGTGAAATCCAGCCTACCTGGCAGATGCAATTAATCTAATTGATTTAAGTAGAAATGGGTCTCTGCTGCATGATTGAGCTGTTGGTGCTTAATGTCATGTTCTAATGTTGTATTTGTTTAGTCTAGAAAACCACTTGCACTAACCATTAGATGGCATGCACTTCTAAAGGAACGTGAATTAGAAGTTCTGGGTTCTGCTTGGAGTTATGAAGTTAATGGACAACTCAGATTTTTACTCAAATGAATATACTAGCTTCTCTGAGATGAATTGGTCTATAAGTGAAGCTAGCATTTATAAGTCAGTCATCTCTTGTGAGGTTTTGGCATCTAAAATATTTGAATCCAAATCTTGCACTTTGTTAGAGAAACTTCACTGACATCTTGATGTGATCTGACTACATTAGGACCTGTATAAATTAAGAAATAAATCTGTCGTTCTTGCAAGCTTTCACATGAAGTGTACACATTTTCAGGCTCACTTTGAAACTGCTTTGCAAACACTTGTACTAATATGTCTGAAATCTTTTCACAGGCAATCATTCGCCTCCTTCCAGAGTTTGATGCTCAGGCAAGTAAAAACCCTTTTTCACTTCCCTATTTGGTAAAACAGAGGTGAGAACAAGTATTCAAAACATTCAGCAACATCTGATCAAAAGTGTATTGAATCTTAGCCAATGTAACTGCAAAAGACAAAACTGAATATGGCTAGAAGTCTCTTATAACAGTGTGATAGCAGGAAATCCTTACAGATTGCTGAGAGATGTCTCGTCTTCAGAGAGCATAGCAAGCAGTTGTTTTTGCCAAATGTGACTCTTTGGCAACTTCAGTGAAGGTGAATTTTTTTTGCAGTATGTTAAAATATGTTCACTTCCTTCTGGGATATAGATAGTCCAATGTTTTCCATAATGGAAAACACGTTTCCAAGGTAATGTTGAGGCATGTGGGGAGGTGGTTAGCAGCAAGTTGTGGAAAACAGTAAAGCGTAAAGGAGTTGACAGGAGGTTTAGTGTCTTCAGTTATTTACTCGCAACGAGGCCATAGGTTAAATTCACAGCCAGTCCAAAAAATGGCTTCCCTTTTCCACTTAAAGGTTTATGAGCGCTAGTGAACTTACATTTTCAAAGTTTCTTGCCTTTCTGCCTTGATTTATAATCTTTCTTCAGTAGTATTGTTATGCAATGATACATTTGATTGGGCTAAACTAAACAAATATATTGGAGCAGTGCTTTTATTCCTGCAAAGACATATATGCAGGCTGCATGGAAAGTTTATTTACTCACCATTGTTTTGAGGTGACATCTTAATATAATACAGAAACATTTTTCCATCCAAGTTGTGGATGGAAAAGACTACCTCTTTTCTATATATCAACACTTAGCAGAGCTCATACATGTCCTGGTAAGTCAGAACTCCATTTCTGTTCTGGGAAGAGTACATATAAAAACACAGTTTTGTTTTTACCCAGCCACTGGGGGCATGGAGTGGCAGTTCGCCAATACTGAAATCATTGAATACGCTGTACCCAACTTTTGGTTGGGCAAATATTATTATTTTAAACATAATATTATTATAAAAAAAATAAACGTTTTGGGTTCTTGCATTTTATCTAACTTTTATATATGCTTAGTGCAATGATGTGCAACCTAGTTACTCCTATCTTCAGTACTGTATTCTTATGTTTCAGGAAGCCTAAGGGGCAAAACTGTCCAATGCATTTCCTTCAATTACCACTTTATTTACTCCATAAAAAATATTTAATTTCATAATGCCTCAAATCCACCTTTTTCTTTCTTGTGGGTTTTGATACTCAGTCCCTTAAATGGGATAAATCTACTTTGCCGAGGAATTGTTTAAACATAGATTTAATTTTTTGGGCAGCAATTTATTAGAATAAACGTGACAGTGCCTGGCCATGTGGGAGAAGTTGTGGGGCAGTTGGGTTTTTTTGTTACATTCAGATTTAATTTAGAACAGGTGATCAGTCTGATTCCCAGATTAAGGTTGCTAACTAGAGTACAGTACTGCAGTGGTTTTTAGTAAAAAGAATTAAAATGACCTTTTTGTCTTCTATCTCAATTCTTGAAATACTTTAAATATTGTGGTGTTAGCTTATAATTAAAAGCTAGATCTCTGCCTTCGAGATCAAAGTGAAGGAGAAAAAGATATGGGGGGGGGGAGGGGTTTTTTTTGCTGGGGGGGAGTACTTATTCTGATTTTTTTGTTTTTGTTTGTTTGTTTGTTTGTTTTGTTTTGTTTAATCCACTACTAATCAAGACCTGTGGATTTTGTCATTTATCCTATGATAACTTCATGCTGACTCTTGAGAGAGAGAACTTGCTTTTCTGGCTCATTCTTACAGTGTGTCTCATTTTATGTAGTTCTGTTTCTGAGTTTTACTTTATTACAGTTATTCCTCCTGAAGATATCAATTGATAAAACCTTCCTAGAGCCTCAACTCTGGAGGTCAGGAAGCTCAAAGTTTTTTGGTTTAGTTTTAGCTCCAAGATCCCTAGTTCAGCTGAGGGGTAGTCATTACATGTGCCTGTAAATAAGTAGCTTGTTTTTTCAAGCAATGCCAAGCGTCTCCAACTTAAAATTTAACATTTTAAGCGCTTAGTTTTCTGAGAGGTAATCATTTGTTTCATACCTAAATATGGACTTGGGTAAAAGGCAGGTCCAAGATGAACCTTCTAGTTGAGGTAGCAATTTGGAAAATGTTGTTTAGCCTTACTGAGGGCAGGCTCTGGAAATGGAGATGCTAACAAACATTTCATAAGTTGCTTTTGAGGGTATTTATATCTGCTTATTAAATATTGTAAAGTTTTGCAAGTAGGATTCAAGATGTCACTTGACAGGTGAATGGAAAGGATAACAGGACAAGGATGTTCTTGGAGCAATGAATGGTGCGTTCAGTATGTACATTGGAGGGTTTAGTATTCCTTGATATGGAGATGGGAGTTCCCTCTCATCCTGCCTCGGGGGCTTTTGCTGGTCACCTGTGGACACCAGGAAGACTTTTTGATATTTTTTGTCTACTTTGTGAAGTGTAGAATATTGGCTACGGCTGTAGATGAGAGTCCGGTTGTTTCTAGGGATACTTGAGAAATCTTTCACATCCTTGGAGTACCAAATTATATTTTCCCTCCAGTTCAGCTCAACAGGACCATGCTTTTTGTGCCTTCCTAGGCAGCCTCAGGCTATGATCCTTCTGCTGGGATCATCTAAGCATTTATTGATCTAATATTCTTTGCAAATGCAGTGGTGATGCTATCCTCATCTCCATTTGCCCTTTATCTGTGGCACACTTTTTTATTGTAGGGCTGATTTTTCATCCCTGTAAAATGCTTGTGGCTGTAGTATGTGAAAGAGGTTAGAATGGATGGTTTTTGTGAACTTTTTAGAGAAGTGGCTGCCTGTGAATGGACTTGGTTACCTGGGAATAAGTTCCAATCTAATGTTCCTCCACTTTTCCTGTGTGTAGTACTAGTTGGTTTTAGTGGCAATTACCCACAAAACCTGGATTATCGCTCGGATCGCCAGGTGTAAGTCATGAGCAGTGAGATATTCCAGACATAAGTCTCTAACTGTTTAGTCAATTCATCATAAATTCAGTGCAGAGCAGAACATTATCTATATAGGCCCTTTATTGGCTTAAATATATTTGACAAATTTCCTAAGCAGGTAAAAATTTGTGAACACAATTGCTGCTAGACAGGCACCATTAAAAGGTGCTGGCTTACTTTTTCTAACTGTAATCATACTTCCAACCCTCCCCCCCCGGATATCAGTCACCAGGGGCACTTTAACATGTGCCCAGCAATGCTGGGCACTTTAATTAGTGAGCCACACTAATTAAAAGCTCCCACATCACATGCACCAGCATCCCCGAACTGAAAAAATGGTGGTGGGGTGCTTTAAGCTAAAGCTCATGTATCTGTATTTATTTCAAAGCATGCCACTGCCACTTTTCCTGCGCGGGGAAGCTGATGCATGTGAAGCAGAAGGCTGCCGGAACGCATCAAGTTCCAGTGTGTCGGGGCGCTCCCCGCACATCTGTAGGAGCCCCAGACTTTGATTTCCTGAATAATCGGACAGAACTGCTTTTTGCTGCACACAAGCAGTAGGCGGCAGAGATGAGTTGCTATCATCTCGGCTGCCTTTCAGCCGGTTGTATTCATTGTTAAAATGATCATCTCTTCAGATTCCCCGGCTTCCTGTCTGTCAGAAATAGAGCTGCTTCACGACTTGACCTGAAGCAGCTCCCCTTCATGTAAGAGCGAGTCCCCAGCTGTCGTAAATTGTTGTTGTTGTTCTGTTGACTTCCTAGGTTTTGTTGCGTGCTTTTTTTGGAAGAAAGAGGTATGGGAATGTTGCCATTTCACTTATCCTGGCAAAGTACTGGAACCTGTTTACTAGTTAGGATGGGAAAAGGCACGGGCTAGAACTGTAAAACTCAAGTGCCCAAAATAGGCCACCACAACATATGTACTGTGGATATATCTGTATACTAAGTATATGTGACTTGACTCTCGGAAGCACTGAGTCAGCCTCATCATTTTTGAAGAGATGCTGTTCAGAACTGCTGAAAGCCCGCTACTTGAGCTTCCAGCTTCATGCACCTGAATTAGGGTTAACTTTGATTACTTACCTGAATACTGGTCTACCTAAATTTGGGACTCCAAGATTAAGCTTGCTCAAGTTCAGTTTTCCATACAAACCAAGATGAATTTGAAACTGGACCTTCCCCCCCACACACATATAGCCACCCCTGACTTATCTCCTTCATGTTTGGGTACAACGTGCACTTCTTAGCATAGGGCAAACGCACACACATATACCCTACATTACAAGCACAGTCACCTCTAATCACAAAGCCTGTGACATCCACATACATGGG